CTACCCCTGGGTCTACTGTATATAAAGAAGATAACAATGAACACTTCTACTCGTACCGTATCTGCAGTGCTATTAGTGCTTAAAGATTTGAATACCATGCACTATCCTTTAAGCACCATCTGCCCCACCCCTCAGGGAAATCACAACAGGTTACTGATTGCTCAGGCCAATGGGTATTCATGCATTGTCTAAAAAAAGAGAAGCTCTTCATTTATATCAGGGTGCCTGGCAAAGATCTGGGATTCCACAATTAATCACCTCTGAATTGGTATCCAGGACACCAGTGTTTACAATTTATGTCTTTTCAATAAGATATAAAGCTTATTTAATGTAATTATCATCATTTGTATTAAGTTTTTTTATATAAACAGTATAATATGCTTTGCATTTCTACAGCAGTTTTTATATCAAAGGACTTCAGGATGTTCACACACTGGAGCCACTTTTCCCACCAGTGACCTGGCACACAGCAGCCAAGCAGTGCAGGACTAGCCACAGCATGGAGCAGTGGGGCTGGGGGGCTCTGGACTTGTTACAGGAAAGCTGTGGGTTCAAACCCAGAGAGACCACTGCTTATATACCCCTGAGATTCCACTCAAGGTGCTTCAGCAATTGTTGAAATACAAACCAGATGTAAATGGACTTGGAATTTTAAGCGTCACCCAAATAGGTGGGTTAATTATGGGAGGAATTTAAGATGAGCGTGTTATGTAAAATCCCAAATTATTCAAATAGAATCCAGTCAGGACACTGGTATAACACTCCTTTTTTTGTAGACATTGCCATGATTTTGTTATAGAACAAGTAGACATATCCAAAGAATGGTATATCCTATAGTATGTGCCCTGTCATCATACAATTTTAGAAACAAAGGTACAGACAGAATAGCACCACTTGCTGGTCCATCAACACCACTTACAGTAGCAACCTGGTTTTACTTAGAGACTTTCCATCCTATTACTGAACACACATCAAATCAAACTTGGGCTCGTCCTGGGTGACTAAGCAAATTGACTTCAAATAACCCCCACAATACTGCAAGCCAGTATGTGTAAAGTACTGTACACCTATAGGTCACGCATTATGGAAAGATCGCATTTTACATAGACAACACTGTACTTCAACATTCAACTGAAACTTCTGAACTTCTGAACTTCTTGTTCCAAGACCGAATGCAGTGACAGAAAAAAATGGATCCTTGAGTGAACTTTTAATGGCTTCCATTAAATAAACCGAGACTTGTCCCACAAAGGTGGCACTTTTTGAAGTGTTTGTTATTCTGTCATCTCTGTCTTGTGATTCATAAATCTAAGTGAAATCCACTGGACACGAGGCTTTAGGATGGAAACAAAAGGGAAGGTGTGTTTGGTTGAGGCAGGCAGAGAGAGTCAGCCCGTCTCCTGAGCGCGGACTGAGCTGTCTGTGAACACGGCAGGCTGGCAGAGTGTTTCCCAGCAGGGGAGACAGGAGGCGAAGCACATTTCCCTCAGGGTCAAAGGTCACTAAATTGCCAACTGGGCTTTTTTTCTCCATTATTGTTCTGCTCCCACCGCAACTCCAAACAGCACCTGAGTGACTACAGTAGGTGGATGGAGAGTTGTTCTCTCGCTGGTTAATTTCAGTCAACTGTAATCACAGATTTATTTTCCTTTCTTTTGCTGCCTATTTCCTTTTTTGTTGGGTTTTTTTATTTTAGAAGGGAATGCTGCGTTTTCAGATCGGAAGAAATTGACTTTCCTGTGGGAGGCCAGTAGGGCCGGGGTTCCCAATACTGCTGCCGAAGGCCCACACACCCACAGGTTCACTTCTGAACTGGACTGCCAAAGTCTCTTTATTGTAACACTGTATGAGCAAATTGTTCCCAGCTCACACATTTGGGATTTTAATGAGCAAATTGTTCCCAGCTCACACATTTGGGATTTTGTTTTACTTGAGAAATGCAATGGTTACAAGGCAGCCTCTGAAATATGCTGAAAACAGTCAAACAGTTGAATACTATTTTTAAGTCGGTCAGGTGCTCAGCTGTGTAACTAAGAGCTAGGCTCAAGATTGGAAATGGCTCTGGCCTGAACTGCTTTAACGGCCCAGAGCTGAAGAAAACGAGGGATGATCTGAATGGCCATCGAGGTGTTGAGAGAAATTAACCCCTGCATTTTTTTGCAAAATTAAAGGGATCTGGCTTCCACTTCTTCAGAATCATGTCAGCCTTGTGCTTTTGTTTTGCTGCGGCCCATTGACCAGAGGCTGAACTGCATGGAGCAATGATTAAGAGCTATCTGATTATGTCATATTCGTGACTGCTGCCATGGAAACCAGGGATATGACCACTCGCTGTGACTCATGGAGCAAACAGTGCAAACGACTGGTTACACAGGAGACCTAGAGTTTCGAATAGTTGAAGATTGAGAATCCACAAATTTAATCTACTGTATGTAAAGTCACAGCCATCCCTCTGCCCATTTGTAGATCCTGTAGGAGTGTGACTTATTTCTTCTTCAATGAGAACTGAGTGACTGAAAGACACACATCTTCTGAAGGCTGTTTGTAGCTCCACTGTGCCTGATTCTCATTTCAGAGCCTTTTCTTTCCCAATTCAAAGACAGAGAGGCAAGAGGACTTTGTGGAAAATGAGTACTTCCAAGACAGGACACTTTTATCCCAGTGGTGATAAACCTCACTAGAAAACCCTAAGAAACAGATGTGGCTGTGGGATCAGTAAAGTACTGTAACAGAAAAAACAGTCAGTAGAGACAGGCTGTCATTTCTGTGTTCCCACAACAGTCTGTTCCTTGAGATTATTAGGACCGTTGTTTTGAGATTGTTCCAACATCACTAATTTCCAGGTACTATTTATGATTCATAGAATGCTGCCGTAGACCATTTGGAATGTGGATTAGTTCTCATGGACAATATGAATTATACAGATACATTTACTCCTCCAGTCAGAAGAGGAATTATAAAATGTTGGAATTATGAAATGCTTAGTACTTGCAGCACAAACAGCTGTTTTTTTGTATTTTAAGGGAACATGTTTTGCTCAGGGTAAGCAGGTATTACAGACTTAGGAAGGTATTATCGTTGTATGAGCACAATTTTATGATGTATTAGTATTTCATATACTTTGTCGGTTAGAATAACTTTGTCAACTGTCGGTAGAGATAAATTGCAGATAGCCTGTCAGAGACACTGTGAGATGGTCAGATCTGCCTAAGGCAAAAAGACAGACTTGATACCTGAATGCTATCTTACATTTAAGTAGGTGAAAATGGAAAATTGGAGTTGCTAAAGACATCATCTTTATTTTCATTTTGACTAGAATAGGTTTCAGAATATAAGATATTGGAATGTACAGGTTTAGGTTGGTTTTGATGTAAGCAAGGGCCCAATTTATGTGATACAATTTATCAATGTAAGTGTCTAACTAGACTCACCTTCAGATAGATTACAGACACAATGGGGAACCTGGACACATCAGGATACATATGAATATGTAGTTCAATCTTTGAAAAAAGTCTAATAAACTAGGCAGTCATGGGCATATGACAACATGGTCACAGAATGGCAAACTGCATGACCATATGGACTGTATTTGACATTTTAATCCTGGCTTTAGGACACAGACTTAGGTTTGTATCTCAGCAACATCTGCCAGAAAGGTGATGAAACAGGTCTAGTAGCTATGAAGATCAAGATGTAGATGATATCGCTGGTAAATAATTATCAACAGCAGCATGTATGTCTGTTAGTGAATGACACATAGTACAAATATGACAGCTGTTCATTATTTTTCTTTTCCAATTTCATTTTTTCATCATTTTCATTTTTCCATTGTCCATTGCATAAGACTGTTCATGGCAAAATTAATTTCTGTAGAAAGAAGTCAACGGATTAATCTTGGGACTGCCTTCATTTTTCCAAACTTATTTCATGCCAGTAAAATTAGTATACTTATAGTAGTCTGCTACTAAATTACAGGAAAGCTTTCAAATTTACACTGAAAGCTCAAGAGTGGCACCAAAGCCAGACTGAACAAACTCCAAGCAATTAATTACGAGCTGTACAATACCAGAAATTAAGCATGCAAAGTGCAATCAGTGTTTCAGCAGAAGTCAAGGAGCTCAGTAGTATTTAGGTAGCTGAGCAGGAGACCACAATACCAATGGTTTTGTGACCTCAGTACAAACCCGGTAATTGAATGCAGTAACTTTTAATTAACCAAAGAGAGGAAAGTCCAGGCGCATGCAAAACTTCCAAAGCTAGATCATTAGTGGTCCCACCATCAAATCCAGCAGATGCGGAAAGGAATCTGTAGAAGTCAGACATGGGGCATGTCCGAGGAGATGAACTAAATAATGAACAGACATCCCTGCCAGCTAAAGCCCTTGTATCACAGAGCTCACATTGAAGACAATAAAAATAGACTGTTGGATTTAGGGCTTGGGAATTACAAATGGTTTCTCTTTTAAATGAGCTGCCCTTCTTTCTTTTAAATCCCCTTTCTGGTCCGAGCGAAGGGATCGGAAGTGGTACGGAGCTGTCATGCGGGCTGCGTAAGCAGAATTCCATTAATGAGCGAGTGGATTCAAGAATCGGAGGGTAAAAGTCAAAGTCAGATCATTAGACATGTTGAGCCACAATACAGTGCTGTAGTAACGCATACGATGCTGGACTTGATCACCCCACACCCACTCCAGCAGCGTCTCGCTCATTTATCAAGCAAAAGGAACGTGCCGTCACAAACAAAGCTTTTTAATTAATATTAATAGAAAAAACACAGAAACACGCTACAGACCCCCTTCCTGCTGCACACACTCCCTTTTCTTAAAATGGGGGCATCTTATTCAGATACATCCTCTGCATTCCTCTCCATAGCCTCACAGCATTCCTATGTTATTGTTGTCTGCACACCGTGTAACAGCATCAAATCAAGTACCTTTGCAAGGCTGGTCCAAGCACAACCCCTGCTTCAGATTGTGAAAATATCGAGTCAGAACCCTTACCTTTTTTACAAGAAAATGCTGTGGATATCCGCTGGTATGCTCTTCTCTGCTCGGCGGATTCCCTGTCCTCTGGCAGTGTGAATCTGCTGCTCGGCTTGCCGCTCTCTCTCCGCGCTCCTCAGCATCACCGTTTCCAACTGAACAATTTTCTAACGTGTTGGACCTGATAGCGGCAGACCTGCGCCGGGGCTGTTCCCCCACATTGCCACCCCCCTCCCTCACAACCCCTCCCCTCTGGTTAATTACGATTCCTAGGAAAGCCCAAAGAGGAGCACATTCAGGCAGGGGGAAGAAGAAAACAGATAGCAGACGTACTGTACAGTATGTAGCCTTGTTTTTGTTCTCTCTCAGGACCCTTTCCCGTGTGCCTGTGTGTGGTGAGAAGGAAATGAATTGTTAAAGCTGGAGCCTGCCATTCAGATGGTAATGGGCACGGATGCTGTGAGTGTTTCTTTTGTGCTACATTGAGATTTCCCTGGGGTCTCGGGGGCTAACAAGTGAACCGTGCATCGGCGCGCCCGCACACACACAAACACACAGCCAGGGGAGGAGGAGGGGAGATGGTAAGGTCCAAGGGGTAGGCTGTAGGTTGTATGTTAATTAGCATGAACTGTACGTGCCATGAAATGGTTAACCCATGAACAGTACTGCTCTTGCACCCTTCAGAACTGTTGCCTTTGACCCAGTGAATTTCTGCACACAGTATGAGAAGCCAGCTCTAATATGCAGTGTTCTCAGATGCAGGTATGGTACAGTATACTGTACCTTCAAGTAGTTCATCTTTAGACCAGCTAATTCAAATGCATCTTTTATATTTTTGGAAACAAACTGTTACCATTTAAAAACCTGGTGCTGTTCCATAGAACAGAAATGTGTAAAAAATGAAAAATATGCTCACAGAGCCCTGGCTGTAGAGAATATGACAAATTCTATCAAAGCACATTTAATAAATCTGTGATTCATCCCTTAGAGCCAAGTATTCTTCAGTTTTCCTGGGAGACAACAGCAAGCATAATCTGAGTAGAAACCACTATGTCAGCATCACTGGTTACTTACAGTAAAGAAACAGAAAAGCCACATTTTGAATGTTCTCCGTCTAACCCCCATGCTCCGTGTTGAAGAAATTTCTACAAACTCAGCTTCGGTTTATGGTTTTAATGTTCTATGTAGAGCTTTAGACCTGACAATCCACTGACTGAATCATTGTGAAAGGAACATGTTTGACAGCAAAAGGCTCAGCCAGTTTATGGCAGAGTCTGTTTGGCATTAACAGTCACATCTATGGAATTGTTACGAGCGGCCTGATCAATGCTTAGATTGCTTCAGTTTTACTGGTATTAAGCTAGTTTGTATCCAAATTTGAGCTACACGGTAATCTTTCAATATGTTTTGGTTGATTTTTTGTAAACAGAAGAAAGATGTGTGGCACCTAAAATTAGCCATTTATTGAACAAAAGAATCTTCTGTCCCACAGGCCACTCAGCCTAATAATGAGGTACAGTATGTCCTGGCTCACACAGAAATCTTCTATTAATAATTTAACTAATCATGGGTAGAGTCCTCTTATTGCTAACGTATTGGCAATATTAATTTTCTTTTAGGTTATAAACTATTTATAAGGTGATTTCCAAACATGAATATAAAGGGTAACTGTTTTGACTGCCACATAAAAGATATTCATATTTACTCCTTGGAGCTCTGGCCTGCCACTGAGAGAATCTGTTCATGTGCAATCCTGTTACTGGAACCAATGAGTGTACAATACGTGTCAGGTTGGGATGACATACTTAACTGTTACAAGTGTCATAGTAAAAGGGTACTTATACAGTATAAACATATATTTCAAATACATCAAGACACTGGCAAAAAGAAATAGAAGTAAAGATGTCCTAAGCACAACATTGTGAGCATCTACTGTCACTGTATTGTATTTATGGGAGAGGTGTTTTTTATTCTACTGTCAGGGTTCTGTCCTTCAGAGCAGGCTGGTCTAAATAGCTACTGTTTATCACACAACCAATCCTTGATATTGTTGGCAGACCTTAAATTAGATGTTTTTTCCTGTGACTACTGAAGTCTTAACAGCTATTGAATTCACTGTTTGCTGTACTGGACAATAGTTTAATATCCAAATAACATGCTGAAATTAGTTTCATAAACCTAGTTTGGCATAACAAATTCCTGCATATTTAAAATTACGTTTAACGCATACAGAAATGATATACAGTAACCAAGTAATATATTGGCTTGATCAGTGATTTGGAAGTGCAGTGGTTAGCATTGCTGTCTCACAGTGCTGGGGCCCTGGGCTCAATTCTGGGCCCACAGTGCTATCTGTGTGCAGTTTGTATTTCACCCCGTGTTTGTGTGGGTTTCCTCCAGGTGCTCTGGTTTCCTCCCACAGTCCAAAGACACACTGGTAGGGAAATTGGCTTCTGAGCAAACCGTCCCTGGTGTGAGTATATTTCCCCTGTCTTTTACAATGGCCTGGTCCTCCAGCGAGTGTCCTGCCTTGCGCCTGTTGCTTGCCAGGCTTGGATCTGGTTCCCCTGTGATGCTGAATTGGATGAAGTGGTTAGAAAGTGGATGGATGGATTAGATACAGTAGATGGATTTGCCAGACCTTAATTGAGCAGTTTCGTAATAATCCTATCTAACACCTGTCATCTCTGGGAAATTAGGGAGACAAACATCTGCTGTTTTTGTTCAGGAATTCCTATTCAAGACTTTTACAGGTATGGACTCTTTCTCAATCAGCACAAACATAAGGAATGTAGCTTGTGTTAGAGCCTACGATATTTTGTTTTGTTTAAAACCTTCCCCAGTAAGCTAGTAAAAACCCTTAACACGTTACTGCAGCCTCATTCACTTCCTGCTCCATTTATGCGGCAGAAGATTAGATCTTTTTGATAGTCTCTCTCTCTCAAAGTTCTGCTTGAAAGGGTCCCATCTGTTTACTCTCATATAAACACACGTTGCAGTTTCCCGAACTGCAAAGACTTCATTAGTGTGGTTTGTTGAATGCTCAGGAGGTATAATTGAAAAATAATGCCTTGAACCAGTATTTAATCATAAATTAAGTGCCACATTTACTGAGAGCTGCAAAGTGAACAATTACAAAACATATAGGAGAAGGAGTCAATGAACAAATTTGACTACATATGGGCATACAGTACGAGGTTTGCCAAAAGTGGCATCCGAGTCATCTCTGCCGTCACCTTTCTCGGTCTCAAGCAGAGGCGTAGCTAGAGAGGAAGAACGGGACAACATTTGTGATAATAAGGCCTTGCCACCCCATTTTAGGCATTACTTAATATTGTCCCCCTTATTGTCTTAAATTAATCAACAAAAGAAACTGTCCAAGCTGTTGACTCTGGTGCAGTCATAAAAGTTTAAGGATTGGTAGGAAGGATAAAATATCAAGGACTGCAAGTAATTAAACTGCATGGGCGATATTAAACTGTCATGGGATGAGGAGAGATCATCTACCATGAATGTGTGCTGGCTTATTATTTGGGAAGATGTAGTCAACGACTTTAAGGGTTTTCTAGCAGTACAAAAGCAAATTTTAGCCACAGTGAAGCTTGCAAAAGAAATTGAGGTGGGGAGTTTGAAGATATGAAACAGGATTTCCAGTACCAATGATGAACCAATGAATGAGGAACAAGAGCAGATAATATCTGATTGTGATATTTACTGTAAAATAATGTTGCTGAAGAGGGCGTGTAGGGGCAGTAAAATCCTGTTGCTGTTTCCGTAACATTAGTTTTTTACGGTACAGGGTTGTTAGCCTTGTGCCCGACCTCCAACATGAAGAACCTGGCGCCCAACATCGTACATGAACCCACTTCCCTAAGATTGAGTCTCATGCTCTACCAACAGAGCTAGTCAGGGCCTGAGCCAGATTATATACCCATCCAAATTCATATGCAAGGCAGACCCACCCTACAGGGAAATCTTGATTGAAATTAAAACAAAAGCAAAACAAAACGGCAACAAAAAGTCACTGTATTTTTTCTATGCCTGAAACAGCCACTTTAGCTCCTGATGATCCTCAGCAGTCAATATCTGCAGCATGTCTCTATGATCTCCAGCCTTCGTCTTCATCCATTTCAATGGTGTTTGAGGCCAAACTTCTTGATGATCTTGAGGATCCATCGGCCTCAAACAATTAAAACCTCAGCTTCCAAATGCATCCGCATCAAGAGAAGTCTTCATCATCACCATTCAAAGGTAAGCATTTAATAATTATATTACTCTATGTTAATGTCATAAAGGTTTATGCTATTGTCGTACAGTATATTTTTTTATTTGTTATTAGATGTTAATTTCATCTAAGGTTCAGTATAGGTAGGGCCAATCATTTGTGTGTATACTATTATCTATATAGGGGTTTACGGGAGACTGTACATGGCTGCATTCACATATTCCTGTATAATTGAAATGAACTGGACAGTTGCACTTCATTTAATTTCTCGATCTAGGGAAACTGCTGGAATCAAATTAAACACTTAACCGTAAAAATGAAGAGGGCAATAAAATGTATGAAACTGAATTGCAAAAACTTCCAATTAAAATACCAATAGCCAAAAACAGTGTGGAATTAGGTTCCAAACTACCTTTCTAATGCCAAATGTAATTGCAGGTCTCCTGTTCCTTCTCTTTTTATTAGCAGCAGTAGGAGCAGGAAAGTTAAATTAGAATGCAAAGCAGGTTTTTAAACCCTCCAACAATGACAATATCACTCGTGTGGATGTAACATCACAGTTTTCAGAGGAAACATTAAACGTCAGGGAAGGCAGCTGTATCTTCAATAATGTTCACACAGCCAAAAATAATTTTCTAGAATAAATCTGTTGTGACCTACAAATAATATGAAGCTCCATTTACAGCTGCCAGTGATTAATTGTCATCTCTCAAACCCTCAGTAGTTCTGAAGAATTCAGAGCTTTTTAGCAAAAAGGATATAATTCTGACAGCAGTTTAAAATTCAAATGGTGATTAATGGAAGTAATGTAGTGTTCAGGTCTAATAGATTTATGAAGTTTTTTGTGAAAAAAGATCAGGGGATCAAATCTCAACCACATCCACTCTACTACATGTAAGTATCTTGGGTTGGTTTCTTCCATCTTTGCA